TAGCGCTAAGAATGATGAATTTGTTTTGCATACAAAGGTGTTCTGTTAGCGTTACTCCTTGATATGTCTCTTGATGAGTGTCTGCATGCGTTAGACTGTGTCAAAATTGCTGGCGGTAAATGCATATGATATATTATATCAGGGTGTCTAGTTGTATGTCGTATTCGGTACCTACAAGCCTTTCTTGTGCACTTACTATATTCTACATTCGAAAGAAGCTAGCCATGGCAATGGGTAAGACCGACCCGGGGGACCGGATCGGAGACTTCCGAGCGACTTAGAATCGCTAAATTTGTACAACAGGTGCTGATCACACCGCTGAGTGTCGACTGGTGTCGAGCTAGATCAATCGGCTCGCATCCTATCGCTAAATGATGCAAAGTTATCCCTTATATGGTCCACAGCAACGGCCTGCAAGGTATCGCTGGAGCTTTTGTCGAGCATTAATTTCCTCTTGTTCCCGTTTTCTCCGTGACTTGCATACAACACGATAACATCATAGCAAATTGTCTTTAAAAATGCTCAGGGGACGATTAAGCGCACCGGTTACACGACGGTCATTGCATTGGCGGATTATTTAAGCCAATCAAAATATGATACTCTGATCTGAATCAGTCATGTCCAATCGAATTGTGATGATACAAATTTTAATTTGGGAACCATGAATCTCCACTCAGTTTTCTGGTAAAATCCCTTTAGTTCAAATAAACGCTACATATTTGGCTCATTTTTAGACATACCTAAAGGGTAAACATCACAATGACCAATTTGTAAACATAAATTTTATCTACTTCAATTATGATTCGCAATCGTACTTATGCGTTCTTTAGCGCAAGATTCTGTCAAGCTTTGCCTGAAAGTTTGCGGACTCGAGAATTTATGTCCATAGATGCTCCCAATCGCTAGTTAGATTGTATAGGTAGACGTCTCAACAACACCAAGCAATTCCCATCACGTTTTCATGCAATTTTCTGTGCGAGTAGATGGTAAGACCGCTACGTTCTTTTTTTCATTTGAAATGTATTCGGATCGTTGGTGTCACGTGCACGCGATGCGTGTTATATTGTTTGTCCAGTTTGTTACTGTATAGCTTCCCATTTTCCTGTGCTGTCCCGGATCTGTTAATTTGCAATGTAGGTCCGAAAAGAGCATGGACGAGGGCATTAAGATGACTGTGCACAGGGAGATTTTGGCAAGCGCGCATGCGGAAGCCTCTGTTATTGCAAAGATGTCAAGGCACCGCCACAAGCGAGATACTACTTTACGATAATCCTGCTGCTGGTGCTGCCAATGAAGCCGAGGAATCTGCATGCTCGCGTTAGTAAGCGTCTGTTTTGGTAACGCACGAGTGACGGTGCCTGCAAAGTTAAATGACCCGTACTGGGTAAAACAGTCAAAGTTGTTTTCGATCTATGAAGGGGGACCGTTAAGTTCTGTAGGTGTTAATTCAATTTCCACGTTATTGCGCATTGTGACCCATTTTAATGCAACGGCCTCATCATCTTCGTATATTCTACGTGTTTATTGCATCAGTGGTACTGATAGTTGCATACTTTAGTTTCACAAAATGGCTTGATACTCACTCACTTACTTACTTTCATCTTTTGAGTTTAATCGTCGCTTACTGACACTGGAACGCCAACAATGCCATTTACCACATGACGTTCTTGCGCCAAAAAGGTTCATTTGTACATGATTACGACAAGAAAGACTTTTTAAATCTAACTAAAGTGAAATTTCCCACTCTATTCTCGACTCATAATTAGCCAATCATGTAGCGTTGCATCAAATTGAGGGGATCTAACCCGAAAACTGAGGGGAGATTAACGTTTCCCGTTGATTTCGATAAACTGCCATTTTTTAATTTTCAACACATTTAAGGAGGTTGTGATAAAAAAAATTGCTGATGGGTGACGAGCTGCGAAAGACAAGGTAATGCAGGCGAACCAGAGAGCAGCGATCAATCAAACCGAAGAATTAGTAGTGAATAGTTGACTTTGTGAACGTAATAACATTCTTGAGGAGCACACAGTACTTGTTTGAGGCGTACATAAATATTCCATGTATCATTAATGCGTGTCATATTGCTTTATATTCACGATAGAGCCTGTGAAAGAGTCCTTCATCGTCAATTAGTCATGTATCAATGCCTTTCATTCGCTGTAATTTGATGTCAGTGACCTCAAAGTCGGTTGCATTGATGGCGTCGGCGTCATTTTTGTCGTCGTTATCGTATTTACTGACTACATCGTTATTCGCCGCATCATTAGCAAACCAGTATGTACATAATCGTGTTGTGCACACCTCTGACAAGGTCTCTGGTCATTTTTACCGAGAATGCATCTACCATGATGCTAAAGGAGGCATTTCGGCAATATTAAAGACACGCTCAATATATAATATGCATACGCACGTCCGAGAAAGTAAAATGACCCTCAATAAGGTTACTGCAATAAAAATGTCCGTCGAATATAGGCTGTATCGACATTTAGTTATGCGCTTTACTCTCTGACATTTCTCTTTGTAGACTCGTCTTCTAGCAATCGCAACCACAAATGCGCACAAAAAATCTGAACAATGGTAAGTTTATCCAGTTAAAATTGCATCATTAGAATTAAAGTTGGTTACAAAGTCAAATTCTCAAAGACCAAAACAAACCACCGAATCAATGACCCGATACCAAATGGGTGCGGTAATCTTTTCCATTTGCAAAATTCGCCGTAGCATATAACAGATGTTCGCTGACTAGTGTCAACTTAAAACAGTATGTCATAAATCCGCCAATAGACGTCTTAATAATGATATTCTACTGGCTATGATCGCTGCTGGCATAATCGTCGACATCAATAACATTTTTCATGATGATAAGTTCTTCAATCCGTGTCGGAGAGAAAAGCGTGGTGGCATGATCGACGATGGATTCTGAAGTTTGATGTACTCTGTGTAATATATGTGTGTTACAAACATATATTTGTGTAGCCTTATTGAGGACAGGGAATCATTGATCTTCGTGATCGCATGCGAATACTTTATGGAAATTATCGACATTGGAACATAATCGCGCTTGACAGTGGATTATGGGGTACATTAATTGTAAATTCTACCCGTTTGTTGTGAGATATGTACCAAGTCAAGTGTGTATATGATGAAAGATAAAGTATCTATCGGTTAAAGATACATACATCTATGTCCATGACGATTCCTCGTACACTGTTACCAATCGCCATTGATACCGGTGCTGGGTTGCTAGTGATACGGTCTGCTTGGCATAAAAAGCTTGCATGGAGTGGTGTATGAGCTCCAATCGGCGAACACATAATCGAGAATTTATAAAGAATACGTCTTTATTTTGGGTAATTAATGGAGTATCGCATGTTGTTGATCTGCAGGTGAGGTTGTGAATGCCATAAATGGTGTGTGGACACGATAGCTGGAGATGCGAACTCTGCTATCAATGAAACGATTCGTATCAGACGATCTGTATGTTTGTCAAGCTACAACAGAAGGTTAGATCAAAAGAATTCGCGGCATACAAAATCGGACTACGGCACCTGCGCTTGATTGTAATAATTTTTGGTCTTTTGCGTTAAAACAACAAGATAATGTCTATCCAACACCAAAACGGTGGTGCAAATGCATTTCTGGCTACACCACTTGTCAAAGCTTGCGCGCACTCCGTTTTCAACAACATTTTCATAACTTCCGCTTGCTCGGTTTCCGTCGGCGAACTATCATCTTGATCAAGTAGATGCTACAACTGGCCGCCAATAAGTTTGTTCTAAGCATCATTAGTTGAAGCGTACGAGAAAGTATCATGTTTCTGGGTATGTTCACTGCAATCAGAAGCTCAGAATGCGTCGTGGATTGGAATGAGCATCTCGTTTCAGAGGTACAAATTATGTTTGAAGAATTCTGGATGAAAAAGTCGCAGCCAAATATGATTATGAGTGAGCCTAATTTTCGAAAATGGTGGTAGTACAGCAACTTCGGCAAGCGTGGGAGCCATATCGTACATGCAAAGAACCCCCCATTGCTGCCATCCCCTATCTTTCGCATACAAGCCTACGGGCACCTGCATTAAACCAGTTTACTGTCTTCCCTCGAGTGCAGCGAGGTCTACTTAGGTGTCCTAAGACTTCCTCACCGATGGAAGAACTTTGCTGTAATGTAAAATAACCGCATTTTTCCGTCTTGCGGCACTCACGTTTCATCTAAGTTGCAATGGTAAGACTAATTTATCTTTGAACCATTAGAACAAAACCAAAATGATCATTAGCTAAAAGGCAAACGATCAAACGCGTGCTTTAATAAGACGATATCTTTACAGCGTACTTGGATTAATCAAAGGAGCTTTAATGATGTCGTTCTATGACGACAAGTCGTGACGTCATACTTTTGTATGACACGCACTTCGTGATAAGTAAGCTCGAATCTTGATTAATGATAACACAACCATGAACTACCTGCACTGCACATATTAGTAGCCAAAACCCAGAGGTAATCGATCATGACATGCGATTTTAGAAACTCATCAACACTTGTTATTTTATTTTCTTTGTCAGATTGGAAGCTTAGTATATGAGTACAAGCGGTGCTTGTCCTTTGCTCGCGTTACAGACAAGCATCGATGCTACAAAATTGTAATCCGGTACCAACGCTTGCACGTGAACAAAGTTTGTTTGCACACAAACCACTCTCGATGCTTGTTTCGGATAGGTTTGCTGTTCCACATTTGGCACAAATTCTTCATCTATACACTTGTATTTCGCTTCATGGCTATGAATTTATAAATTAGCGACCATAGAACAACCATATCACGACCTTAATGGACGTCCAATCGTATCAAATAGAGATAGTTATTAGTTTATAGGGAAACTTTACGATAGGGAGCACTGTCCTTCACTTTTCAATTATAGCAATAAAGGCGCTGTCCTGAATCGATTTTGTGGTCCGATTTGTTTACCAGAGAGAGACAAGACCACTTCGTGACCACTGCCGTTATGTGTACGGGCGTAGACACTGGTGGAATGGTTGTCAAAGTGGGTATTGTAACATCCAGCGGATCCATTGTTTCCCGCAAGCAGGAGAAATATGACCCCGATCACCACGAACCTCAGGACGTTGTGGACCGTGCGGTTCTTGTGCTCCACAATGTGCTCTAGATGGCGGGTCCTGCTGTCTCTTGGGATTAGCAAACGCTATGAGGTATGTGGCAGACAAGTCATCTCCAATGCACAGTGTTTCTGATGTGGCCAGACTTGTTCGAAGCTTGGCGTGGGTTGCCCTGGTGTCCTGAGAGCTGGTGGTGTCGTTCATGCTGGAGCCAACCTCCCGTCTTGGTTGGATGTGTCGCTCCAGCAATTGTTCACTGAGACACTTGGGAGACCGGTGCGTGGTCCAGTGAAATGCAACGAGGCAAGTCAGGATCGTGATTGTGGAGCTAAAGGAGGCAGTGAGGATGTTGGGTGAAAGGTCGCTGTCTGCAATGACGCGGACACCGCAATTGTGGCGGAACAATAGGTGGGTGCGGCCAAGGGCGGAATTGAGTACTGTATCATGCTTAGTACGTGGTTGTTCCAGAGAAGTTTTACTGGCGACCGACTATAAGGTTGTTGACGAAGGCACTTGTGGCCTGATTATTGAAACGTATTGAAGCGCTTGGAATGGGCGTAGACTTTGGTGTCGTTGTAAACGGTCAACCTGTATGGGGTGGCAGCAATGCAATCGAAAGGAGACCTATGGTGCCAAAGGCTTGTTTTGCTTTTTCGAGTCGACGGTCATGGCTAACTATTTGTATCGTTCCGCTGGTAGATTGTCGAGCGCATTGGAAGATAGTGTGGTTGCTCTCAACGTGGATGCCTTGAAGCCTACAGCCCAGCTTGTGCTTTGATAATGCAAGCTCAAGAACATTTGCGTGCTGGTTCGTCCGAACTACTTGCTTGCTCGTTAGAATCAGTTATTTCTACGAACTAAGTAGACTGACTGTCCTTGTTACAAGTAGGTCGAGTCTCAACCTTGTCGAGCTTTCCTGTGGAAGATATACACGCCGAAATCGTGGTTGAACACGCTGCTCGGGGCGATAAACTATGCAAGCACGTCATCGACGAAGTAGATGTGCATGTACGAGCAAGTCAGACTTACAGCTGCTTACCGCTTTTTGGTGTGATCTAAACTAGGCTGCAGACTAACTGGGTTTTGTCTGCGTTGCATTTTGCCGGATGTTGGATCGAAAGGTAACGTGACGTGAATCATCATGGCATGAATACTGCATTGTGATGTACTGACGTGGGGCTTCCGCGATTGCTCCTAATTGAAGAATTTAGTGCTGTCCGGAGGGATCTCCGAAGCCGGTGAAACTTGTATTAATCAGATTCGTTGTGACTATGCGAGACACACACCTGGACAAAACTTGCTAATCCTGTGCGTCTGACTTGCACTTCTTGACGATCACTTCAGTTCATCTTTACATTTCGTTTCCTTGATGTTGAACTGCTAGGTTGCGATCGAGAAGTCAAGCGCAGGGTATGACTCTGGCATTATTGGTGCTGTTGCAGTTTGCAGAAACCAGAACACAGGGTAAGGTTCATCATTAGTGACAAGCTAGTAGATTGAGTTGCTCACGTATGCAGGTAGCTAAAAAACGGCCGTGTTATATAGCTCATCCTCCTTTGATTCAGCCAAACTGCGCATGTCCCCGTCTGGAACCGACGGTTACGTGCAACGTGGTAGCTATCTCTGTGAGGTAACGCCGTCTTATCAAGCTATTCGCTGTCGCTATCGCTGATCACGGGGCTGCCACTGCCGCCGTTGCGCGGCTCGGGACTACCATCGTCACCATTCTCGCGGCCAGGGCTGCTCGACTTCTTAGTCGGACTCCCAGGTGGTGTACGAGCCTCCGTATCTTCGTCGTCAGAGGGGGGCGGCGTATGTTTATCTCCCGTTCGTTGGCGCTTGTATTCACGCACGCTCTCATCGTCATCAAGCTGTTCATCATAGACCCCTCCGCAGTGGAAGAGAATCCGCGCACGACGATCATTTTCGCCTTCAGAGTAATCCCGGCGATAGACGACAACTCCATCGCGGCGCTTTTCCTCGCCACTCATCTGCACTCACAAAAAGGGTTCTGTTAGATTAGCTGCACACACGAGTTGCGACAGTAGCAGCAGCTGCGCGCACCTTTGTCTTTCGTAGCTGGATGCGGTTCAACACATCACTGTATGTAAACTGATTAGACTCGGGGTCCAGTACGAATACGACATGCTGCGTCTCTCGCTAATAGAGGTACCGAGTGCAGAAATAACAGCGGTGAGAACAGTCCTCTCAAACAACGATAGCTGCGCCAACGTACGCTATCGAGCGATTCCACAGCCATGAGATACTCTCGAAGGTACGAAAATTTGTCGCGATCGCTGCTGTCCTACAGTAGAGCAGAACAAAGTTTCAATCAGTTTTCGCCACATGGTTGCTATTGCTACAGCAAAGCTTTACCTCCTCTCCTGCAGACGCGTTGGGCAATAGAACAGAGCCCTGGATAAGCTCATTACCAGCTTGGATTTTCTTATTCACTCCACACAGCAAAGCGCGTTCTTCACGGCACGACATTCCCTTATTCTTGAAATCTTCGGAGGGTAGCATATCGTATGACTGCAGACGACGAACCAAGAGCAAATCGAGTTTAACTACAGCCTCGCCAGAACACAATGCAGGCGTATCACAAACTTACCAGGATCGCGTACTTGTTAGCAGACAAGAGCTGATCCGGAAAGACGTCCCACACTTTTGCGACTTGTTTCTTCGGGTCGTGGGGGTGCACGAGCAATCCCGAGTCGTTGATATCACGAAAAGAAGCTTCGGCACGATCCTCCAGTGAGACCGAGACCACCTCGGCCAACGCGTTTTCCGTGCCTTCGCGTAGTGCATTCTGGATCTCTGCTTCACTTTTGAATTTGTGCACCGAGTCGTACAGATCGTTGCCCATGTACTCCGTGCGTCGCAGCCATGAGACGGTCGGACGCACTTTCGATCGACCCTTGGTACCGCCATGGTCTTCCCGCATCATCAGAGCCTGCTCGTCACCAACCTCAAGTGGCTCAGGTTCCGTCGGAGCTACAAAGTAGCATAGCACAACACAAGAACGTCCCGTTACCATTAGCCTTAACAACAAGGATCCACCGTGTACCAGCTACTTCCCCACACCTTCATACTTGACTGGATCAATGAGATCAATTGTCATTCCAAGATTCGCTTCTTCATGGATCTCGTAGGTATAATCCATCTCCAGCGCATTGGGCTTGTACTTGATAAGTCTATCAGCAAACACAACACAGAGCATCACAATGATCCACAGCCGTCACTTCGTGTTTCTACCTCTCTCTCTCTCTCTACGAAAACATCTGTATACACATATGTATACATCGCAACATAAGTTGCAGCATGAGTGCACGTGTAATGACCGCACCGTTCCGATTCGTGCGGATACTTGACAAACTTCGTGTCAAACGGAATGTCTGGCAGCGTATTGCGGAACTCGAGCGTCGCCAGGAACTCCGACTGTTTGCCCAAGAGCGCACGACGTTTCGCCTGCGCGTGGCTCTCCAAGATCATGCGCGTGTGGTCCCGACGCGCCTTGAGTTTGTCCTCTTTGTACTTGGCGACTTTCTTGCGCTCGAGCTCGTAGCGCGCGCGTTCTTCAGACGTCCCACTGGCTGCAGCGATGACGCGTCTCCTCTGCGCCTCATCAGTCTCCACACTGCGTCTCCGGCCTTTGCTGTGGCCTGCAGCAGTCGCCGCGTCCTTCCCGTCTGTCGCCGTCGTTGCGGCCATTGTGTTTTGGTTTTCACGAGGACCTAGTGTTGTGCTCTGCCACACCAAGTACGAATCGTGTGACGCACACTATAATCGTCACAGGTACGAGGGACTGTGTATGTGAGGGCTAACAACTCTAATTCTGCATCGACTATTTTTGATCCTTTCCGTTCAATTTTGACAATGTTCTGCAGTCGTCGGATAGCACCGCGCGTTTGCTACACGTGGCGACTGCAGATTAAGTATTCCGTCTACTTCTTATTAAACGATAATGTCATGAATAACTGTGGTTCACCCTCTGTGTAGCGCTGTAATTCGCAGATGAGGAGACTTTCTATGTGGTCAATTAGCATAGAATTCTGTACAATATGTCGAAAACTTCCGAGCCTGGAACAAGCATCCGACCAGTGTAACGGGGTAGCCCGTTAAATGACATTGACACCAAACGGTGTCAATGGGAATATTGTCTAGCGTGGCAACATCCTACCAATAGTATCCGAAATGGATAATATACATGCGCTGCTCCAAGATTGGTTGACACAAGACATATCGACCATAGATTACCACCAATCGCTTCTAGACGCGCGCAATGAGTGGTGAGCAGGTTGTCGTCATACGACGACGTAGTTTAATATGTTAGATAAAGATTAAAGCTATATTGATAGCTTAACTATATTCAATACAGTTCTCTTTTTACCGTTGATTAAACTAGCAGTTAAAGTAGATTAGCTTCCTCTGCACGTACTAGTGTGCGTGAAATTTCGTAGCACCCCAAACAAAGGGTGCCCCGTTACACCTGGTAGCACTTGTAGTCCGTCCAACGACTACTTAGTGTACGTCCAACATGTTCATATTGAACAACATGTTCATGTTGGACGTTGAATTCGACGGCTTTCACGTCACACGTAATGGCTACTCCCATCTGAGTGACTCAGAATGGGAGGTAGTCGGCCGCGTGAGTGTGCTCATGGGTGGATACGCCATCAGTGGCATGTTGGAGTCTCGAAGCAGAGATCAACGTCATGCCGCTATCAACAGGTTCCTACACGAAGAACCTGCTGTCGAAAGACAGAAGATAGACCTGCTACAACAGCAAGCTCTTATCAGTCGATAAGCGAGCCGACGCACATGCGTCGACCCGAAACCTCGAAGATAGATTTCTCAAGGTACAAGGGAACCGATGAAGATTCCTTTTTGAGATGGTTCGTCGAGTTAGACGATTCCATTAAGGCCCGTCACATCAAGGGTGACGAGATGCAAGTCATCTTCGCCGTGTCAAATTTGACAGGACGAGAAAAGGCTTGGGCCTCAGAGCTCGAGCTTCACGACCCAAACGTGTTTGGGTCGTTAGGGATCTTGAATTCTCGGCTTAAAGACACGTTTGAGCCGCCAAGAGCCGAGTTCAGACTACGCTCTGCACTCCTGAGGCCCAAGCAAGTCAAGCGTGATGTGCACACTTACGCACAACACCTACGCTACCTTGCGAGTAGCACCACGGAAAACCCTGTTGATGAGCACACGCTCATCAATGTGTTCATCCACGGTCTTTTAAATGGACCGGGAAAGACCTACATGTTTCGAGAGGACCTCCACACGCTGGAAAAGGTAAGGAGCTTATGCGGAACAGGAGGAATTTAGCCTGAGACAGTCTCAGGCTAACTCTTCGAAAATATCGTCCGACAAGACGACAGGAAACAGGAGGTCTGAACCAATGGACCTCGGTTACATCGAGAGCGAGAACTCTCGCTATACGAGTCACAAGCGATCGGCAAGATGCTATCGCTGTCAGAAGATCAGACGCTACGCTCATGAGTGTAGTGTCCCGAGCACTGCGACACGTCCAAAGACAGGACGTGATAACCGCCGTTGGCCAAAGAAAAGTCCAAGGCACGGATTCGACCATGTTGATAGACCGCGACAGCAAGTCGGACAGCCAAAAAAACGGTCAGGGTCAGTAAGGGACGAGCACCCTGCTGATCCAGCAACGTCAAGAGAATTTGCAGGACTCTTGACGAAGATTGCTCCCAACACACAGTCGCTGTGTGTTACTGCCCCTAGTGATGAGGTGTCCCTTATCACTTTGAAGATCGAAGTGACAAGTGGAATGTCACTTCGCGCCCTGGTTGACTGTGGGGCGTCGAACAGTTTTATTCGACGCCAGTCGCTAGAATTTCGAAGGCTCAACTATGTTGAGCGAGAGTTCCCTCCAACGAGGATGACGGTGTGCCTTTCTACAGGCGCATCCGTAAAAGTGAACAAACGTGTAGTGGGAATCCACTACACGCTAGCAGGAATCAGTACGATGATGACTTTATCGTACTAGATTTGGATGACAAATTTGATGTCATCCTTGGTCTGCCATGGCTATGAAAGTATCAGCCATGGGTTAGCTGGCAGCATCGATCCGTGAAGATGCCTGCCGTTTGTTCATCGGATGGCCATCTAATGAACGTCTTGGAGCGTCCACAAGCGTGTGGATGTAATACGAGTAAGTGCTATGGCCTCACTTGTGGTATGGTCGTTAGTACGATTACACGAGATCACAGTGTAGAAGGCCACTAGACTGTGTAACCAGCTTCCGGCACCTGTGTAGAGACACAGGATTCGCCGAGGTTCACCACTCAAAAAGATCGGGTGGAATGGAACATAGATGCCCACCAAGTAGGGTGCATCCAAGAAGAGAGATGAGTGTTGTTCAGGATGAACAACCTGTTAAAGCGAGATCGACTAAAATAGTCGATCTTGAAGCAAACACGATCTACTGAAAGAGAGTCGATCGAAGAGGACGTGACTGTGGTAGTACATCCACATTCAGAACATGTATTGGAAGAAAGTTCCAGCGTTTCTGAGAGTGATAACTCCCGAGAGAGTTATGTTGAGGGTGTAAGTTCCCAACCACCTGCGGCTGTGTTTTCCCAGGAAAGCGCCGAGACATTGAATGACTTGGTGAATGACGGATCAAGTGTAGGCGCTTATACACTTGATCTGGTTACACCTATAAAGTCAGCTTCGGATGTAGTCAAGTTGTCATTGCTAGAATCTAAAAGATTCTTGCGAGATCTGCGTACTTGTCGTAGAGGGCGAGTACGTTGCCGATATTCGGTCGGCACAAGTGTTAAGTGAGAACGAACGGGTTCTACGTAACTCATCGATGGACGAGAGTGTTCTTCATGAGAAGACCCGGATTGAGCGGTACACGTATCAATCTTATGAGTCTTTGAAGACCAATCCTTCATAAAAGGACTTGTTTGAATTCAGGGACGTTCTACCTATATCCGTACCATGCGAGCTGCCTAAAGACAAAGGCACTCGGCATGATATCGAACTGAAACCCGGTTCGAAGTACAGTGTCATGAAGCAGTGGCCACCGCTTTGTGAACAGGTCAAGCGATCGAAAAATTATGCGCTGATCCCTTAGCGGCTGTTCATGTGAGGGAATCAACATCCCCACACAGCTCTCCTACCTTCTGTGTGCGAAAGGTCATAGGAGGGTGGCGGATAGTGCACGCATTCGACAAATTAAACGCTGCAACAGTACCGGATCTGAAGCCGATACCAAGGAAGGACGTCATCATTGATGCTATGGCAAAGAGTACCATCTTTTCGTCCATGGATCTGATGGATGTATTCTATCAGATCCTCATGCGTGAACGGGTATTCCCTTACACAGCAGTGAGCACCCCCGGTGGTATGCTCTGGGAGTGTCTAGTGATGCCACAGGGACTAATTAACGCCCTTACAACGTTCAACAGATGTGTCACGATCTGTTGTGATCGGTGCGAGATTTTGCATCGAATTACTTTGACGACGTCCTCGTCCATAGCCGGGCTATGGATGGAAAGACGGGCGTGGAGGTTTTAAAGAATCCACGTCCGGAAGGTTCTTACTCTAATGCGAGAGCACAAGTTGTTCGCGGACCTCAAGAAGTGTATATTCGCAGCGAACGAAATGCCACTTCTTGGCTGCATCGTGGGTAAAAACGGTGTACACCCTGATCCAAAAAGATCAAAGCGACTAGCGACTGGCCTGTGCCAGTCGACGTCAAGGGACTTCGAAAGTTCCTTGGCTTGGCAGCGTACTTGCACAAATACTCGCGCAACTATGCCGGAATGACCGTACATCTCTCTCGTCTACTAAAGAAAAACGAGAGGTGGTCTTGAAGCGCTGAGTGTCAGCACTCTTTTAAAAGTATCAAGAACAGCTTGGTGCAATCGCCTGTGTTGGCGATTACAGACCAGGATAGACCATTCCATGTGGTCTGTGACGCCAGCGATTTTGCAATCGACTGCGCATTTATGCAATAGGAATCAGACGGTGTTGAGCGCGTGGTCTGCTATCAATCTCTTCAGCTGCAAGCAGCTGAGTGAAAGTATCCGGTTCATGACAAGGAACTCCTTGCATGAAATATGCACTAGCCAATTTTTGGGTATACCTCTTAGGAGATAGGCCCTTCATCGTCTAAACCGACCATGCTTCATCATGCACGGCCATAAACAGTCCACATCTCTTGCAACGAATGGCGAGATAGTCGTCTTTCTTCGTAGAGTACAACTTCGCCGTCGAGTATAAACCAGGACGGCTTTATATCGTCTCTGATTCTCTTTCGCGTTAGCCCGATTTCGATCCGACTGCTCAATACAACAGTAGGGGTGATCTCACTGTAGCGACACTAACAGTGAGTGTTCCGTCGTCGAATATGCTCGACGACGTGCGGAAGTCATACGCAGAAGATGATTCTCTTCTGCGATTGATGGATAACGTTGAATAATCCATTCAGTCAAGCTTTGACAAGATATGACGTCTCAATACCGCTCTTCAATCAAAAGGAATTCGGTTCGTGATGGACTACTGTACTATACAGCAGTCAAGGGTGATACAACTCGTGTCGTCGTTCCCGCTCATAATGATCTTCGACTGCGCATCATGCATGTGTGTCACGATTCCCCAACAAGTGGGCATCGCGGTAGAGAAAGACTTACCTCACGGTGAGTCGTAAATTCTACTGGCCCCGCCAGTATGATTTTGTGCGCAAATACAATCGCGCTTGTGCAGTTTGCCAACGGGTGAAGCTTAGTCCGTCATCCCGCGCACACTTGCAGCTTCTACCGATTCCGGCAGAGTGTTGGCAGTCCGTATCGATGGACTTCGTCTATGGGTCCCCCAAAGACGTTCACAAGAATACTGGGATTATTGTGTGTATTGACCGGTTCAGCAAGATGGTACATCTTGTTGCTGTACCGGAGTCAATCACAGCACAGGGCTGTGCTGGTGTCTTATTCGATACTATCTTCCTGCGACACGGGTTACCCCGTGGACTCGTGTAAGATCGAGACCCCCGCTACACAGAGGAGTTTTGGCAATCCGTGTTCCGTTCACTTGGAACACGTTTGACGATGTCAACTTCTGATCATCCGTAAAAAGATGGTCAGACCGAACGCGTCGATCGCGTCCTCGAAGAGATACCATGAGGGTATGTCCACTCGTTAACGAGTTGGAGTGAGTTCTTGCCAATGGCGGAATTAGCCATCAACAACTCGGCGCATGCGTTGACAGCGCATACACCTTTCTTCGTAAATGGCCTACGCCATCCACGTTTACCCGCCTTCTTAGAGCTTGACTCTAGTTTAAGGGGGGTAGTGGACTCGATCGAACAAAAACCGATCTGGTCCTTGCTCATCAACCGTCGACAATGCTGTCGACGTGATGGATGCCGATGTCGATGCTATCGATATCGGTGATGATGATGACGATAATGCTGGTATATTCAGCATCGCCAATGACTGCCACAGTGAGGACGATGACATCCTCACTGATGAAGACAACGTTCTTTCAGCAGTGCACACGAAGCGCGCTGCTGTTGACAAGGATGAATCAGCAGAGATATTTCTGCTGACTCGCGAAGCGGTTTTCCGCTTCGTTCAATACTCTATTGCAGATGCAACAGACGGACAGAAAGAAAAGCAGACAAACTTGGAAGAGCTAATGTTCTTTCATTTAATGAAGGAACACTTAGTCGTACTGCCAACAGCAAATCTACCAAAACAAGCAGTGACAAACGTGGGCAGAAGTAATTTTTTACCCAAGCAAATCGGTCTATTTCTTGTATTGCGCCGCATGGGCAACGCGTAAAGGATTGAAATTCCCAGTTCAATTCGAACGCATCTTACGTTTAAGTTGGACGTCTCCGCCTAGACTATCAGTACAACCCCGTTTCGAGAGGCGAAGAACACCTCCGCGGTCAAGAGCCGAGACCACCTTCGAGTGGTCCCGTTTCGACGAGCCAGTCTGTTCAACTAGCATAGCTACCTGTTCACGCAGCTGATCGATTTTCTGAAAAGCTTCAGCCATCTCATCAAGAAGAGAACGAGTCGAACGTTCGTTCTCAAGTTGTGCGAACGCAAAAGCGGCATGATCGTCCGAACGATCGTTCATTAAGGACTTGTAATCATCCCTTACAAGATCCTGGAGCTCATAACACCGAGTCCGTTCATGAGCCAGGTCATCTTGCAACTGTTCCGTTACACGGTTCAGCTCTTGAACATCAAGCTGGTCCGGCCCGCGAGCTGGATCAGGTGTTCCTCCAGCACCACATACTTTGGTGGACTCAATCGGTGGTCAACGCTTTCTGGTAGAGCATATCTTGAACCACCGCGACGTGAATGGCGTCCGGAAGGGTTACCTCGTTCGCTGGCGTGGCTATCCACCGGCCTGGGACAGCTGGGAGCTTCGTGCCCAGCTGATTGTTGATGTTCCGGGTCGCGTAGAGAAATATGACTAGACCCAACTGCTGCGTTCGAAGAAGGGCCGTCGGACACAACCTCCCCGAACGCGAGTTCAGGAATTGCAAAGTGTCAATCCCTTTGGCCATCTCAGATGAGATGCGCGCCCTCCAGTAGGGATAATTAGGGAGGTAGGCCTCCCTAGGGACACGGTTCTAATTGTCCAGGCAGCCTGGACACGAATCACCCCACGAGAGACAAGGCAATCCTGCCCCTCTTGTTAGTCGGGGAAACGTTCATCCGCTGAGTTACGTTTTCCAAATTTGATACAAGCTGCATCAAGTTTACCGAGCCAGGCTTCACGGACAATTCACTCGATGTTATGGATGAGATCATTCCATCCTTGCACCAAGGCTTTACCGTCTCGAACACGGCTGCCATTGTACCACCGATGTCTAAAAAACACATCGATGAAGAACTCTTCCTCAGCACGGACAGTTTCCATGCTGGAATCAGGTGGGCAAATCTTTCTGCAATCGAACAACGTGATTCGAACCCGTTCGGTAGTGATGCCGGCCAACCGGTCCAACTCTCTGGATGACGGCATCCACGGAGACTCCACTTGAGGAGCGTGACGCAGGACATTTCGGTCCCTGGCCTCTTCTTGGTATCAGCACGAGCACTGGCACCAGAGGCAACTCGATCTTTTGATTTGCTTATCTCGTGGTGATGCGTAGGGACATCACCACGCGTCCTATCGTCGGATGGACTTCGGTGAGGCGAGGATTCGTCAGAACATACGCTCATTTGGAAGATCTCGAGCATGATGCCGCCACGCTCACCAGATTCAGTCAACCTGGCTCTTCCAGTGTCCGCCCCAAATGGTTCGGAGGCGTGGGGTGTCGCCTTCGAGTCGGATACATCATCCGACTCGCCAAAATAGATGACCTCTATTTAAGATTCATCTAGATAACGTTTCGCGGTACCCGCTGCAGACGCAGCGGATGTACCTGTCGCACGTGGTGACTCACCACGGGGACTGTTCACAACAAGCACCGCCTGTTGCTGGATCGCAACAGCAGGCGAATGATAACCTGCTGATGAAGCAAGAAGGAACTCTCTTCGGCTGCACGCATGCGTGCAACCGCCTTCCTGGATGCTTCAGCAGCGCACCGCATGGGCTTTGAAACCGTGCGATGAATTGACAAATTAGTTGGAATTCGACCAACAAGTGCTCCTCTTTACCAGAGTGATCCAACGGTGGTCACCCTGTCCCAATCAATTAAATTCAATCGATAAGTGATAAATGGATGAGGGGGGGGGCGATGTAACGGGGTAGCCCGTTACATGATATTGACACCAAACGGTGTCAATAGGAATATTCTTGCATGACAGCAACCTACCAATAGTATCCGAAATGGATAATATTGAAGGAATATTATCCTTTATAAATAATATACATGCGCTGCTCCAAGATTGGTTGATACAAGACATATCGACCATAGATTACCACCAATCGCTTCTAGACGCGCGCAATGAGTGGTGAGCAGGTTGTCGTCATACGACGGCGTAGTTTAATGTAGTTAGATAACGATTAAAGTTCTATTGTAACGGGGTTGCACGAAATCATGGTACTTTGTACCAGAGGTGTTACACACCTGAGGGTTCGCTTCTGTGAAGGTGATATATAATATCTTATCGGTTTGTAGGGCTGACGAGTGTCAGCCATTAGATACGAAAGATCTTTGAGTAGGATTAAGATATTCTATAGGCTTTAACAAAAATAAAATCAGTTCCCATTTTGATCTGAAAGACACGTGGCTTGCGAGCCGTCTTGATCGTTGATCTCTGATCACTAAGAGTTAGCGACACCTCCTTGAGGTAGCTACTCTTGAGCACTAAGTGCTGTCGATTCACTGAATCGTTAGGTCCCCTGGAACAGGGATCTGAAGCTATAAAGCTTGTTGACTCGTAAAGTCGTTAGTTCTTTAGAACTAAGTTGCTCGTAGAGCGTTAAGTCTTCCTCTGACTTAAGGAGCTGTGTAGCTCCGCTGCACTTGGTAGCACTTGTAGTCAATCTACGCCTGAGTCTTTAAGACTGATTTTCTGTGAGGATGGAAAACATCACTCCCCTATCTGAGGCCCAAAAGGTCGCGCTTGATAAGCTGACAGCATCTTTGGGTCCAGAGTACGTGGAGTTCCTTGTTTCACAAGGTCCTGAAGTGCTTAATGCACGTGTTGAAAGCTTCATGCAGTATGAAGCGACCCTTTTAGGGCAGGTCCAAGACCAAATAGCGTCGGCTATGCCTACACGCTACGTGTCTGTACCAGACGAAGAGGATAAGCCTCGTCCACTTAGAGTGGAAGTAAAAAACTACTCCGGTAAGGAGGGCGAGAACCTCATCCTCTGGATCCGTGAGATCGAGATGGCCATGAGATCAGGCCTGATCACGCTTGACCATCAACAGGTCTCGCTGGCTATCTCGAAGCTCGATGGTAGAGCTAGAGAATGGGCCTTGACGTGTAGCACGTCGATGGACATAGCGTTTCCCACATGGGAGTCGCTCAAGTCACAATTGGTACAAATGTTTTCTCCACCTAACCAGGCTTACCGCGTGCGCTCACGCTTTCTTTCTACCCGCCAGGGTAAGAATGAATTATCGGACTATGTCCAAGAGCTGCGAACGCTCATGGCTGCAATGCAGTCTGACCCTCTGCCTGAAGCAGTCCATGTGACTATCTTCATGGAAGGTCTACGTACTGGCATTGCCAGAACCGAGGTTTTTCGGGTTCACCCCTCTACGTTTGAAGAGGCTGTGAGAATTGCTCTTAATGCTGAGCATAATTTCAAGTCGGCCAGACTTGGTTGGAATGGATACAATCCTCGCTCTGTGAGAGCAAACTATTCGGGTACCACTGCCTATAATAGGCCGGAACCGATGGATCTCAGCTATGCTGAAGATGGAGGTGAAGCTGAGCTTCAAGCTGCTGAGCAGCAACACGTTTTAAGACGATGCTTTATGTGCGGAAGCACTAAACACTTGCGGCCTGGTTGCCCTTTGCGTAAGCAACGCCAGACTACGAGCCAACACTCGACCCCGAGTCAGAAGTCTGGCATGGCACGGGGAAATGCCGACACCCAGTAGGCGCGGGGCGCCCTACTGGGGAAGAACTATGTTCTGTTACACCTTTAGAAGGTAAAGGAATGCAGGGCTTAGCCCCAAAGAGTACCATACCTACGGGTATGGTGCGTGGATACAAGTCTGGCTTGTTGGTCGCTGAGGCGGAAATTAAGGGCTTCGAGAAGCCTTGGTCGATATTGATCGATTCTGGAGCGTCTTGCAATTATGCTCGACGCCGTTCCCTTGAGGGAAGTCAGCGTTATGCTGAGGCGCTTACAGCGCATGAGGGTGATTCTATCACGGTTCGTTTAGCGACTGGAAGTCGCGTAACGGTGCCTAAAGTTCCATTGAACTTAGGTATAAAGTTTTTAGACTTTGACAGTATTGAGCGCTGTCTTGTCCTAGATTTGGACTCGAGATATGATCTCATCCTAGGTATGGCTTGGCTTGAGCGCCATGAGCCATGGATTGATTGGAGGTCTAAGACCTTAGGCGCTACGCGCAATGTTCCTAGCGAAGCTTTGGAGAGTCATGAACCCACCTTTGCTAGGCAGCAGAAGCGCTATTGGCGCGAGCCTTTGACAGAAGATGTCAATGTGCTGGATATTGGAATGTCCGAGTTATCTAACTCCAATGTTAAAAACATAAGTTTCGAGCCTAGCTCGTCTAAAACTAGTGAAACGGCACGTACTCCGTTGAGTGGTACTCGTTGTGATAACGAGTCACTGCATGCTGAAAGCATGGTTGGCCTAGGGCCGAGTGATCAAGGACGTGATTCCTTTGATGTGTGTATGGTGGCACGTGAAATTACACCGAGTGCGGTCGGCCGTGAGAGCACCGTACTGAATGTCGGTAATGACATTGTTGGCGATACGCCGTATAGAGTGGACGGCCGTGAGGTCACCACGCTTAACGCCGGTAATGACGTTGTTGGCGATTCGCCATGTTGTGTGGGCGGCCGTGAGGGCACCACACCTAATGTCAGTAATGATATTGTTGGCGATACGCCGTATAGAGTGGACGGCCGTGAGGGCACCACGCTTAACGCCGGTAATGGCGTTGTTGGCGATTCGCCATATGGTGTGGGCGGCCGTGAGGGCACCACACCTAATGTCCCCACACCTATGTAATGACATTGTTGGCGATACGCCGTATAGTGTGGGCGGCCGTAAGGGCACCACACCTAATGTCTGTAATGACACTGTTGGCGATACGCCGTATAGTGTGGACGGCCGTGAGGGCACCACACCTAATGTCGGTCAAGACAAAAGCTCTCGTGTAGAGCGTACCATGGTTGGTAGTAACCATGGGGATAATATTGTCCCGACCCCTAAGGGGAGTAAGGTCTCGAAGAGACAATCGAGACGCCGAGTAGCAGCTGTAAAGCGCCAGGCGTCCTCACAGTCACATCGTGAGATTAGCAATACACTATATACACTTGTTAATGGAGTGACTGGTCAGGTTAATGGCAACGTGAGCCTCGAAACCCTTCCATCTGTGGACGCTCTGTGTGAGCTAGACGAAATGTCTGATGGCGAGTTTAGCCAGGCCTTGAAGGCGGGAGAGTTATCCGAGTTAGCGGTCATTAGACCTGATACTGAGTTGAATTCTTCCTCGTTAATGGATGAGTCTGTCCTAGAGGATACAAAGGCGGCACTTAGTGCACGAAGTGGATCTTCGATCCTTAAAGATCCTTTGGATCCGTTCTATCCTTTAGTCAAGGAATTTCAAGATGTGGTGTGTCACAACCCACCTTCTGCCTTACCTCCCGATAGAGGTGTACGTCATGAGATTGACTTGGTTCCTGGAACTAAATACTGTGTAACACGGCAGTGGCCTTTGCCTAAAGAACAGTGCGACGTCATTGACGATTTCTTTCGTGCTAAGCACGCGGCTGGAATGGTTCGTGAGAGTAAATCTCCCCATTCAACACCGACATTTTGTGTCAAAAAGCCAAATGGCAAGTGGCGTATTGTGCATGCTTACAATAAGCTTAATGCAGCCACTATACCGGCGCAGACGCCTATTCCTAGAAAGGATGTTCTTCAGAACAATATGACGGGATGTACACTGTACAGTGCACTCGACTTAGTCGATGGTTATTACCAACTGCTCATGCGAGCAAGCGATATTCCGCTAACAGCGGTGAGTACTCCGAGCGGTATGCTTTGGGAGTGGCTCGTTATGCCGCAAGGGCTATCTAACGCCCCGGCTACATTTAACCGGTTGGTAACGCAACTATTCAGACCTCATCGAGGCTATGCACAAACGTACTTTGATGACATTTTTGTCCATAGTCGTGCAATGAATGGGCGATCAGATGTGGATAACCACATTGATCATTTACGAGCTGTGCTCGAGTGCATGCGAACGAATAAGCTGTATGCGAACGCATCGAAGTGCATCTTTGGAAGAGAAGAGATTTCCTTTCTAGGGTGCTTCATTGGAAAGCGAGGCCTTCGAGCGGATCCCGCTAAGGTAAAAGCCATAGTCGATTGGCCAGTCCCCAAGAACCAAAAGGACTTGCGTAAGTGGCTTGGCCTTGCCAATTACTTGCATAAGTACAGTGCAAATTACGCAGATATGGCTCGGCCATTGTCCAATCTCCTTAAAAAGGAGGTGGGTTGGTGTTGGGGTAACACCGAACATAATGCTTTTAAAGCAGTTAAGGAGAGTCTCCTTCATGCGCCAATATTGGCTTTGCCCGATTCTGGTCGGCCTTTCAGTGTCGTCTGTGACGCATCTGACTTTGCCATAGGCAGTGCTCTGTTACAAACAGATGTCGACGGACGCGAACGCGTCATCGCATTTGAATCTCGACAGCTGAAAGCTGCTGAAAAGAACTATCCTGTTCATGACAAAGAGCTACTTGCTATGAAGTACGCTCTTGTCAAATTCAGAGTCCATCTGCTTGGCTCGAAGCCATTTGTGATCTATACCGATCATGCGTCATTGCGCACTGCGACACAGTCGCCTCACCTCTCACAGAGAATGGCTCGTTGGATTTCTTTCTTTGCCGAATATAACTTCGAGGTGAAGTACAAGCCAGGTAAGCAAAACGCTTTGGCTGATGCGCTATCGCGTCGACCTGACTATGAGCTTGCTCATGTTACGACCCTGTCGTCGTCAGTCCCTGACTTAATTCGTGCGGCATATGCCAAGGACGATCAGTGTGTAGCTTTGCTACGAGCTCTTGGGAGCAATGAGTTTAAAGACTCGGACATAGAATTGTCGGCACGTTTACGTGCGAGGCTACATCGATATTCCATTGATAATGGCCTGTTGTGCTATCGCACGGATATTGAGGACAACCCTCGTATCGTAGTACCTCATGATGAGGAATTAAAGTATCGGATCCTCTATGAGGCACATGATACTGCTTTAAGTGGTCATCTCGGTCGTGAGAAAACTTATAGCTCGGTGAGCCAAAGTTATTGGTGGCCCAAACTTTATAAGTGGGTGCGCACCTATGTGCGTACGTGCGAAACGTGTCAACGGGTAAAACCCTCGGCACATGCGGCGGCGCCGCTGGCTAGTTTGCCTGTACCCAGTGGTTGTTGGGAGTCCATGAGCATGGATTTTGTGTTTGGCCTACCGAAAGATTCGGAAGGCAACACTGGTATTGTGGTCTTTGTTGACCGATTGAGCAAGATGGCTCACTTAGCGGCTGTGCCGGATAGCATTGATGCGGAAGGTACAGCAAAGCTGTTTATCGACCGTGTGTTTCGCCAACATGGCTTGCCTGTGGCAATTATCTCTGATAGAGACCCCCGCTTCACTGGGAAGTTTTGGAAGTCTATCTTCAAGGTGCTTGGCACTCGGTTGGACATGTCCACAGCGGATCATCCGCAGACCGACGGTCAAACTGAGCGTGTAAACCGCGTCATCAACGACATTTTGCGCAGTATTTGCGCTGATACGCCTAGGCGTTGGAGCTCAATGCTCCCTGTTGTTGAGTTTGCGTTGAATAACGCTGTTCATGCCTCAACAGGCTTTACTCCGTTCTATATAAACGGTCTCACTCACCCTCGCGTTCCGTTAACGCTATCACTACGTGAATCAGGGCTTGGTGGGGGAGAGGTTGCCGATCGGCTTGCTGATATCAGCCCTGCTACTGTTCAAAAACAGGTCGGCGAGTTTCTCGCAACGCGATTAAATGTCTTAAGACATGTGCGTGACGCAATGGCTGATAGCCAAGATACCCAAAAACAACAAGCTGATGCCAAAGGCAGAAATTGTATTGAACGTTATGAGGTCGGAGACCAAGTACTACTCAATGCTAAAAATCTACCTACAAATGTAGTGTCTGCTGTCTTTAAGACAAAGTTGCATCCACGCTTTATTGGACCGTTTACGGTCACGGCCAAGAAGGGACTTGCGTATACGCTTAACCTCCCGCGCAAATTGCGCACACATCCAGTGTTCTACGTAGGCTTACTTAAGCCGTACCGGGATCCTTCCCATGTGAACTTGGAGGCGCTTGCGCCGACGACAAGGGCACTGCCCCGGATTGCTGTAGACGAATCAGCAAGTCCAACTGAGCCTCGCTCCGAGTTTGAGCTTGCTCCATCGCCTGAAGGCGGCGTTGCATCGCATCCAGCATGCACTGGGACTTACACAAGGCCTCTTGAAGACCCTTCGCTTCGAGAACCAATTTCTCGTGGGCCTCCACCGGTACACCGGCCGCCACCGACTTTGCTCGATGAGCATGGGTGTCGTCAATTCCATGTCGAGAGACTACTGAAACGACGTCGTCGTCAGGGCCAATACCAGTATCTGATAAAGTGGCGTGGGTACCCTGAGTCTGAAAACTCATGGGAATTTGAGGTACCCCTTCGGCAAGACTGCCCATATGCTTTGGAGGCTTTTGAGCATCGTGGCCATGGTCATCTCGAGGCCGAGGCCGTTCACCACCACTAGTGGTGCGGGTTGGCGGGTTGTTGGTCACAGACTGACCAGCACTCGCGGCTAACTTAGTAGCCGAAGCATAGCGCGTGCGCTTGCGCAATTGGCCTCTGGCCTTAAGCTTGGCATAATCATACCGAAGCTTGCGTTCGAGACGCACATCCGCCGCATGGGCACTCGCCCTTAGAGCAAAAATGTTGCTGAGGCGACGCACATAGTGCACCCAGTGAACAAAGACATCGTCTTCTTCACTCGCTGTTTCGCCTGCGAGCAGGAGAATGGGTATACCCTTCATCGGTGGAACTGGTGCACCACGTGCTTGCATGTCAAGGCGTGCCTTGTATTGACTTTGAGTCGTTAGGTGCGGCTCCAGGTACCTCTCACGAAGTGCCTGGCAGCTCACCACCTCCTCAGGAGTCTTAGGCCCATGGCCAATAACCCACGTTGCCAATGTTTGGCCGGCCGCTTGACGCAGACGTTCCTCCACACTGGGTGGGGTGAACACATAGTCACGCTGGCGTTCAAGGGTTGCAGTCATCTGTGCATAACGCTGAGCGTTTTCTTCCTTTTGAATAAGCAGTTGTTGTTGCTCATCGAGCGGGTTCGCGATGATAGTCTCATCAGAACCAGATGCTGCATGCTGCGCTGACGGCGCGCTCGCACCTCCACGTTCAGCGAACGGATTTGGGGTGTTCGAAAGTTGTGCCTCAGGCATCAGTGAGCCGGACGTTGTCCCTGTGTCACCGCGGACACTGGTATCGCTACCATAGTCCACCTCTTCCTCTATTCCGAGGTAGTCACACAGAGCCTTTGACTCGTTTGGTGATGAGGACATCGTGCTGGAGCGTACGTTACCGTGAGGTTCACCGTACGCGCACTGTTCTCGCTGAGAACACGAGTTCGATTGACGTTTTGGCAAACGTCAGTCTGGTGGGGGGAGGGTGTAACGGGGTTGCACGAAATCATGGTACTTTGTACCAGAGGTGTTACACACCTGAGGGTTCGCTTCTGTGAAGGTGATATATAATATCTTATCGGTTTGTAGGGGCTGACGAGTGTCAGCCATTAGATACGAAAGATCTTTGAGTAGGATTAAGATATTCTATAGGCTTTAACAAAAATAAAATCAGTTCCCATTTTGATCTGAAAGACACGTGGCTTGCGAGCCGTCTTGATCGTTGATCTCTGATCACTAAGAGTTAGCGACACCTCCTTGAGGTAGCTA